TGTGTGTGTGTGTGTATGTGGAGGGGTATAGTGTGTGGGGAATGCAGTGTGTGTGTAGGGGTTCAGTGTGTGGGGGTGCTGTGTATGTGTTGGGGGTGCTGTGTGTTGGGTAGGGGTTCAGTGTGTGGAAAGTACTGTGTGTAGGGGTTCGGTGTGTGTGGAGGGGTGTAGTGTGTGTGTGCAGTGTGTGTGAAGGGGTGCAGTGTGTGTGGGGGGGCAGAATGTGTGTGTGGGGGTGCTGTGTGTCTGGGGGGTGTATCAGTTCAGTGTTTGGGGGGTGCTGTGTGGGGGGTGTGGTGTGTGTAGGGATTCAGTGTCTGTGGGGGGTCAGTGTGTGTGGAGGGGGTGCTGGTTGTGTGGTGGGAGTGTAGTGTTTGATGGGTTCATTATGTGTGGGGCGGTCAGTGTGTGTGGAGGGTGCTGTGTGTGTGTCACAGGGATAAAGGAGCAAATTCATATTTATATTAAAAAAAAGCTTTATATTACCCCCCTCCTCTGGCTGCAGGCTGACTACTCTCTCCTCCCACGGGTACAAGGCTGTGTCGGAACGTTGCCATTGTAATGCATGGCAACGCTCTGACCTGCCTGCTTCTCTGCTCCTGCTTTGTGTCCAGTTGCTTGTCTACACGAGTATGAGTGGTGCACCAGTGCACATCGTACATAGTTGGTGCCGCATCTTTTTTTTCACTCTCTTCGTCCTCTGTTTTCTCCAGCTTTGTGCATGACCCTGGCACGTTGGGTCAAATGGGTTTTGCCCCAGGTGGTTGTGGAAATGTCTGGTTTTTTTGCTCATTCTTCCAAAGGCTCGTCCACTTCTATGATGTTGCAGGTGTGCATTTTGAATTTTTTATGATGACTGCTGACTGGTCGCAGAAATCTACTTTCACAAATTTTATTGTAGACCAGTTGTGTATATTTTTTCTGTAGTTATTAAGAAGCTGACTGAGGAAGCAACGCGTCTTGGCATCAACCACATTGAGGCCATATTATAAAAAACAATATATACTTTTAATTATTTATTGTGTTAATATTTAATAAATTGTTCATCTAGTACTATTTGTGCACAGCTTGATTTCCAATTTCAGGAGCCACAAAAAAGGTAGGTATAATTTTATAAATTGGTATTAAGCCTCTCAAACTCAGAGCCAGGGATTTTAAGGCCCTTTTAAAGATGAGCTAAAATAAAAAACTTGTAGAGTGAATAATACCTGTACATATTGCAATATTGGTATATTTTTCCCTTTTGTATTTGAGCCCTGCATTTCATGAGAAGAAAGGTGTGATGCTGCCTTAAGACCATAAAGGTGCAATTTACTGAGCCAGTACTTTCAGGCTCGTGTCCATGTGAGTTATTTTCAATATCACCTACCATCAATATTTTAAAAAATACCTTCATGCATGTTTTCATTTATGTTAAATCTACTAAACAATGATTTCTGTATTTATTATGGCTTTGGAGTGTCCTTTTAAAACCGATATAATCATCTGTTAAATGGGCAACCCCCAACAATGTTATAATTAGTATTAAAACTAAACAGTCTTGGGATGAGTATTGAAATCTTGGGTTTAGTCTCTGTAAATTGGAAAAAGTAGGAGTAAACAGATATATCTACATTTAGCACTGATTCTTTTACTTTATTTTTGCTTTGTCATAGAGGCTGTGATGGTCCGGGTGCCTATAGTGACTGTCCCTGTAAATTAAAGGTGTCCATTAGGTGTACATAGATTTGCAGAGATTCCGGTAATTTTCTGAACTTTGCATTTTTATTTTATAACATTTTTGCTGTGGGAAAAGTGCATGTTATGCAGACCCAAGTTCAACTTAGATTAATGTAATGAATTGTCCAGAAACGTAAATATTGCATAAATATACAGCCTCATGCTACATACTAATCAGTAAATAAACTTTTCTTCTAAGCGTGTCACGAAAGCACAGTTATATGTGGGTACCAGAATTGAGCCCACTGTGTATCTGCACGAAAACAATCTTGGAAGAGAATATAGTAAGGCATTTTCAATTAGGCTATTCCATATTTAGAATGACGGGGTTCTTTTAAGAATTATATATATTACAATCTATCACATATTATGGTCACACAATCTCAGAGCAAGTAGTGGTCTCATTTAGAATGAAAAACACATGCATTCCCGATCTCTGCATATTTCAAAACGTGATGAGATTATTAGGTCACAGCTCTGTGATAATTTTTGTTTTGTATTTCGGTATGGAATGTAGAATGTTTGAAGATACAATCAGATATGAAACTGGTTTGTACATGTAAATGCAAATATATAGTTTGTTTGAAATAAATATAGGAAATATCCTAGTATGAACAGCACAATGAAATTATTCAATGTTTTTAAACTTCAGTTACAATTGTACAAGCACCATGATCACTTCAGTGATTTGAAGTGCTTATAGTGCGTGGGGAGACTATGTGCAGTGTTTCAGTATAAAACTTTGCACAGGTGGAGGTTCAATTCTTTGCTGCTTACTTCATATCCAGCAGCATAATTGGGGAACCATAAACCAGCCCGAAACAAGATTTCCAGGCTTGCTAATATCAATTCTCTGCAAGTTTTTATGTACAATGTGTTCATTCACACGTGACTGCTCTCAGTCAATGAATGGCATCTGGATCAGCTTCCAGCTTCCTAAATAATCAAAAAACACTGGGAGATTGTATCACAAGTTCTTCATGAAATTCCCGTATTCACTAACTATCCAGTGGCTGCTTACAAAAGATGCCCCAATTTGTTAGAAGAGTTGGTTAATCCATTTGCACTGTTAGGACGTGTCGTTAAGTCGGCATGGGCTTTAACAATGTTAGGGCGTATTGACATGTCCTAGCATCGGTGCCGGTGAACCCCGACTCAGAAATAATACTTGCCTCGCCATAAAACAAGAAAACTATGTCAGGAGTTATGGTAGTGAGTGTGAAGTGTAACTCTTAAGAGTGAAACAATAAACTACCTAGAACAGTGGTTCCCAACCTTTTTTCACTTAAGAATCCATTGGCAGCCCATTTCCATAATATAAGCAGAATATTAGTTATTAATATATTTGCTGTTAGTTCAAATTCATATGTTTTTCTCTGCCCCAGGCTCTCCCTGCTTCTCCTCTGCCCCAAACACAGATAAAATTCCTGACATACAAAAAGATATAGACATGTAACATCACACAAAGACACAGATACAAACACTGACAAAAACAAACACTGATACACATGCATATGCACAGACACACAGATGCAAACAATGACACACTTATACAGATACACACAGTGACATAGATGAACAGATACAGACACGGACACATATAGATACAGACACAGTTACAATCAATGACACACATGCAGATACACAGATACACACACTGACACATGCAGATGCACACATACAATTGCACAGACACACTGTTACACATGGACAAATGGATAACGGTTCAGCGCTAAATATTCTAAAAGAAACTAAAATAAGTATAAAAGCAGCAACCTATAAAAATGAGGTCCCTCAACAAGCCTCACAAAGAATAAAATAGACAGAAGTTGGTATATAGGTCGCGCTGAAGGGACAGAAAGGTGATGTAAAATGAATAAATAAATAAATATAATAAAAAGTCCCAAGTAGTAAATAAACCTGTATATTTCTTGAGTGGATATAAAGTCCAAATGAGTGTCTGAAGCTTCTTATGTTGAAGATATCTTGATTTGCTTGTAGATATGTGGGTACATAGAAGAGATAAGAAAAACTCCAATAGTGTAGGATGTCGACAAGTAGTCAGATATAAATCTGTGAGTAGGTAAAAAACTCACCTTTGAGTGAGCAAAAAAACTTGCTCAAGTGTTCTTAGCGTTCAGTGGCGTCAATCCCCCACTGGTCGGATATGTGGAGAAATGAGAGACGTATATAGTGCTCACTGTATTATTTAAAAAAAAAATAAAATGGTAAAATACTCACATGTATATGAGCAGGAACTACTGCTCAATATAATGGCGCAGGTGGTACAATCCCCACCTAGGATTCTTGGATAGTAGCGTACTTCAATCCAAATCGGTGACCAAGTAATTCAAATTAAAATGAAAATAAATAAAAAGTATGTATAGGCAAAAAAAGCCAATATTTCTTTATTAAAATATGATATATCAGTATAAAAACAAAATAATAACAGCCATATATACAGATGTACAGACACAATTTGGCTGTTATTACTTTGTTTTTATACTGATATATTATATTTTAATAAAGAAATATTGCCTTTTTTTTGCCTATACATACTTTTTATTTATTTTCATTTTAATTTGAATTACCTGGTCACCGATTTGGATTGAAGTACGCTACTTTATCAGTCTCTCACATCGTTGCGGAGGAATTTTGGTCCACTCTTCTTTACAGTGTTGCTTCAGTTCATCGAGGTTTGCTGGCATTTCTTTATGCAAAGCTCTCTAAAGGTCCTACCACAACATTTCAATCAGGTTTAGGTCTGGACTTTGTCTGGGCCACTGCAACACCATGATTATTTTCTTCTTCATTGTCCTGTTGCATGTCCCAATTTTGGCCAAGCTTGAGCTGTCGCAAAGATGGCCGCACATTAGATTATAGAATACTTTGGTATACAGAGGAGTTCATGGGTGACTCAATGACTGCAAGTCTTTTGGTTTGATCAGACGCAACTTTGAAAACCTAAGAATTGTGCCATGTTATTTTTTAGAGAGAAGAGGCTTTCTCCTGGCAACTCTTCCAAACAAACAATGCTTACGCAGTCTTTTTCTAATTGGAATGTCATGAACTTTGACATTTAACATGCTAACTGAGCCCTGTAGAGAGATGTAACTTTTTTTTTTGTTGCAATTTCTCTGAGCGCTGCACAGTCTGACCATGAGGTGAATTTTCTGGGACATTCACTTCTGGGAAAATTAGCAACTGTCTTGAATGTTTTCCATTTCTCACTATAGAAGTTAAATTGTTTGGAAATGGTTTGCTACTAAAAATAAGACTGGATGGGGGCAGAGCTTGAGACCAAGACTGGAAAGATGCCATTTCTAACTGCTCCAAATCTGCGGATGCTATTTCCCGAAATACAACCTATCACGGGTGCCATTCAGCCTCCAAACCACCTTAAATCGACCACGGGAACCTCTACAGCATCACACATAATCCCTAAAGCCAACCAAACTGACATGCAAACCAGGGGCCAACTTACCTCCAATGTTCTCCTGCCTGGAGACCTAAAACCACAGCCAGGTAATCCGGGCGATCAAAGGGATATCGGGACAATGTTACAGCTCCAAGCATGCCCAAACATAGCCACCGCAGAAGACCCAGTCCATTCTGTTCCCTCTCTACAGCCATCCCATAACTCATCCCCAAAACAACCAAACAACATCTGCAGAATATGCTGCATGAAAGATCCTAGCAGCAGAGCTGGCACTACTTAATACAGGGATGCAACAGGTCTCAGAAAGAGTACGCTCAGCAGAGTGAGAGTGACATTATGGATATGTAAGGTGGAATGGCTTCAATGAAAGAAACCATAGTACAGCTACACACAACAGGCATTCTCACTGCAGCTGTCAACCCAAGAAAACAGATGCAAGCCAGAATCATGTCAAAATCCACAGCATACCCACAACAGTAACCATTAAAGAAATGCCACACTATATCAGAAGGCTCTTGGCCTCCATATTAGGCATGTGCATGGGGAAAATTATCGGTTCGGGACTTCGGCAATTCGGGACTTCGGCACTTCGTAACTTCGGCACTTCAGCATTTCGGGACTTCGGCATTTCGGGACTTTGCACTTTGGGACTTCTCTTCCAGCCGCTTAGTAGATAACTCCCTAATTCCCACGGTATTAGGGAGTAATCTACCAAAAGGCTGAAAGACCTAAATTGGTCTTTCAGCCAAATTTATTAATAAGTAAAAATTACTTAGTATTAGTAAATTTTGCCCCTACTCGTTATACTGCGGGTAGGGGCATGTCTATTAAACAGTGAGCAGCCTGTGTCTGCTAAAAAAAGTGTCCCCCCTCCTAAGCCTCCACTCGCACGTCGCAAGTAGCTTTTAAAGTAAAGGGGGGACCTATTGCCCCCCTCCCGGCCCCCACCTCTGAGCAGTGGGTGGGGGCCCTAAAGTAAAATAATGGGGGGTGACCTATTGTCCTCACCCTGGCCCCCATACCTGAGCGGCGGGTGGGGGCCCTAAATCAGAATAAGGGGGGGGACCTATTGTCCTCCCCCCTGGCCCCCACCCCTAAGCAGTGGGTGGGGGCCCTAAATTAGAATAAGGGGGACCTAATGTCCTCCCCCCTGGCCCCCACCCCTGAGCGGTGGGTGGGGGCCCTAAAGTAAAATGATGGGGGGGGGCCTATTGTCCTCCCCCCAGCACCCACCCCTGAGCGGTTGGTGGGGGCCCTAAATACAAATAAGGGGGGGACCTAATGGCCTCACCCTGGCCCACACCCCTGAGCGGTGGGTGAGGGCCTTAAATTAGAATAAGGGGGGGACCTAATGTCCTTCCCCTAACCCCCACCCGTGAGCGGTGGGTGGGGGCCCTAAATACTAATAAGGGGGGGGACCTAATGTGAATAGGGGGGGAACCTAAAAACGTGCCATTTGATGTTTTCTTTCTTCTAAAATCTTTTTTCAGCCGCAAAAAAGGCCAAATAAAAAATCCATAATAACCGACGCACTTAAAAAAACAAACAAAAAAAACGAGCGCCAAAAAAAAAAATCCTTCTTCACCCATGGAGGGCTCCGCACAGACTGAGCTCTGCATGTCATGATTCCCTTTTATTCCAGAAGTTTGGTCCTTAAGGGGTTAAGCCATCCAATCAGAGTGCTCTGACAGATAAATGAAGAGACTGACAGGTACATTTACCTGTCACAGCACTCTGATTGGTAAGCTTGAAATCCACCAATCAGAGTGCTCTGTGTCATTTTACACAGCGTGGGAAAGTTCTTTGGAATTTTCCCATGCTGTGTAATTTGATTCATAACTCTCTGATTGGTTACTTAATCTACCAATCAGAGTGTTATGAGTCAAATGTTTGGGATGGGGGCCAGGGGGGAGGACATTAGGTCCCCCCCTTATTAGTATTTAGGGCCCCCACCCACCGCTCAGAGGTGGGGACCAGGGGGGAGGACATTAGGTCCCACTCTTATTAGTATTTAAGGCCCCCGCCGTCCGCTCAGGGGTGGGGGCCAGGAGAGAGATCATTAGGTTCCCCCTTATTCTAATTTAGGGCCCCCACTCACCCCTCAGGGGTGGGGGCCAGGAGGGAGATCATTAGGTTCCCCCTTATTCTAATTTAGGGCTCCCACCCACCCCTCAGGGGTGGGGGCCAGGGGGGAGGACATTAGGTCACCCCCCATTATTTTACTTTAGGGCCCCTACCCACCGCTCAGGGGTGGGGACCAGGGGGGAGGACATTAGGTACCCCGTTATTCTAATTTAGGGCCCCCACCCACTGTTCAGGGGTGGGGGCCAGGGGGGAGGACATTAGTTCCCCCCCTTATTAGTATTTAGGGCCCCCAACCACCATTCAGGGGTGGGGGCCAGGGGGGAGGACATTAGATCGCCCCCCATTATTTTACTTTAGGGCCCCTACCCGCCGCTCAGGGGTGGGGGGGAGGACAATATGTCCCCCTCGTATTCTAATTTAGGGCCCCCACCCACTGCTCATGGGTGGGGGCCGGGGGGAGGACAATAGATCCCCCCCTTATTTTACTGTAGGGCCCCCACCCGCCGTTCAGGGGCAATAGGTCCCCCCTTCAGATTAGAAGCCCCCACTCGTGCGGCACGGGTGGGGGCTGCTCACTGTTTAATAGACATGCCCCTACTCGCAGTATAGCGAGTAGGGGCATAATTTACTAATACAATGTAATTTTTACTTAGTATTAGTAAATTTGGCTGAAAGACCAATTTAGGTCTTTCAGCCTTTTAGTAGATAGCTCCCTAATACCGTGGGAATTAGGGAGTTATCTACTTATTCATTCATGCCATTACATTGACTGGCTAAGTAACTTACATTTTATATGAATGTGTGTTACTTGATTGTTGTAAGTGTTGCAAATGCTTACAGCTGAATCCTGGCTATGTTTGTATACTTTTTATTTAAAATTGTATACAGTGTAACATTCTTTATTCTTCCACTGGGTAAGTATATTAGTTCTTAGGCAATACTGTGCTTCGGAACTTCGGCAGCTTCGGCACTTCAACAATTCGGAACTTCGACACTTCGAAACTTCGACACTTCGGAAATTCAGTAATTTCGGAACTTCAGGACTTCGACAATTCGGCAATTCATCTATTCGGACATTCGGAAGTACCCGAATGTCCGAATTGCTTGAAATTGCACGTCTACTCCATATTGCCTCCGGCTGTTGCCAAAAAGATCACTCTGGCAGAGCTATATCACCTTCTTATACGGGTGTCACCTACAACGCCTCTGACATGGGACGCCATCCTGCGTTGCTTCCTACCACAGGATAAGGTTTAAATTATGGCAGCCCTGAGGGGCAAGACCCCACTCACTTTCAAAGATTCCACCTTATGCGTATACCAGGACCTAACCAAGGCCACACTCCAATAGTGCAAATCACTTAACTAACTTACTGGTCAACTGCTCTCCAAAGGGGTGACATATTGATGGGACCTTGTCACCCACAATGGGACTGTGCACAGAGTCTCATCAGAGGCAGAAGTGCCTGCACTTTTCTTAGCCTTGGGTCTCACAGACTTGACACCTGCTATTCTATACTGGATCGGGGAACACTTCGGCCCCCTGACTGAGAAGGCGTGTGACCATGATCCCAATAGAGCAGCTGGAGAAGTCGCAGCTCAAGACCAGATATTGGGAGATGCCTAACACTGGCAGTTACCGTGGGACACACAGTCCTAACCCAGTCTCGCATCTCATGTGAATCTAAGCTACTACAAATATCGCCCCCACCTGATGCCCCCTTGGTTAGGGGTGACTACCCTTGTCGAGTAGCCCTCACTCATTTTATAATCTCCACACCTTCTAACGAAGGCACAAATCTTGTATGGCCTACTCTTACACACTCCGTCGTTATAATCACACATTTTAACCACCCTCAGATATCCTCTTGTACTGAACACACTCTAATATTGAAATCTGGCATAATCTAAATTTTACCTCAGACCACACATATGCCACTTAAATTCACCCTAGGAAGTCACCTCAGTGTATTCATTACAATATTGTAATATTTTTATGTATTATCACCGTCTCCTAGGGGTACACCCTTGCTTATATAAAAAGAAAACAATGTGCAGTCATGACTTGACACCTTTATACCTTCTACTTATTGATACATGTTTGACTGGCACAACTGTGTCTTTTCATGCCTCTGTTGTACTAAATGCATGACTAAAATAAAGAATTAAAAAAAATACGACTGGACATAAGCCAATTTATATACACTGGGTTGTTTACTTTTACACATGAGGTTAAAGTGACCTTATGGGGTTAATGGGACATTATAGTAACCAGAACAATTGCAGCTTTTTGAAGTAAAAACTTTTTATTTTCAGGGAAAAAGCAGTGTTTACATTAGTTACAGCCTGGGGACACCTTCACTGGCCACTCCTCAGATGGCTTCTATACGTGCTTCCTGGGGCAGTGCACCGACTTTTAGTGTCTCCACAGTCTGCATAGAGACACTGAACTTTCCTCATAGAGATGCATTGATTCAATGCATCTCTATGAGGAGATGCTGATTGGCCAAGAGTGTTTGGCTTGTGCTGGCTCTGCCCCTGATCTGCCTCCTTGACAAGCACAGTCAATCCAATGCTTTTCTATGAGAAAGTATTATGATTGTCTCAGATCATAGCTTCTGACACTGGCGTACATACAACAGGAGGATCAGTGCTCCCTCGCCGCCTGCAGGACCGGCCGCCCAGCAGCCCCACTAGACTCCAGGGAAATCTGGAATCCCCTCAGCACTCCCAAAGGTAGGGAGGCTGGATGATTAAATTTAAAAAAATGAGTGTGTATGTGTGTTAGTGTGTGTGTGTTTGTTAGTTTTTGTGTGTCAGTGTGTGTGTGTGTGTGTGTTACTGTGTGTGTCTGTTAATGAGTGTGTAAGTTGTGTGTTAGTTTGTGTGTGTTATTGAGTGTGTCTGCTAGTGAGTGTCAGTGAGTGTGTTAGTTTTTGTGTGTGTGTATGTTACTGTGTGTGTCTTACTGTGTGTCTTAGTTGTGTGTTAGTTTGTGTGTGTCTGTTATTGAGTGTGTGTCTGCTAGTGAGTGTCAGTGAGTGTGTTAGTTTTTGTGTGTGTGTATGTTACTGTGTGTGTT